ACAACCTAAATAATAAATCAACATAATATAATTTATCAATGTCAGAAAAAAATATTTCAAAATTCAATATAAAATGAACCCAATATATATACACATATATACATACCTTGAGAAATCATGGCAATGCAAAACACAATAGTGAACACCAACGCAACCAAGTTGGTCCCGCTCGACGAATTCGAATTCGAATTCGAAGCCTTTGCAGCAGCTAATTTAATTTTCTTGATCCGCTCGATTCTCGACCGTTTGATCGCTATCAGCTCAGCAATCTCCTTGATCAGCTTTACATCAGCCGCATCCAACGGCAGTACTAATGCTTTCTTAGGGGGGCGAGGGGGCTTCTTAGCACTGAATTTCGGAGAAATATTATCATCGACATTATTTCTCGGATCAATTAAAATGCTCACCGAATTATTTCCAACATCGTCTGAAATCGCAGGAGAAATTCCTACTTCTTCGCTCGTTTTATTACAGCAATCGATATCGATGATTGTGTCGTTTGCATTCAACTGTATAGGATCCATATTAGCTATCCTTACAGTTGACAACTGTATATATACATACACATATATATAGACTATATATATACACTGAATTATTGATATGGAAGAAAAGGAACAAATTAGTAGTCAATTAGGATGTACATTAGGGGAGCATAAAGAATGAATCACCAAACTCATTCAGGATGATAAAATAAAGATTAATGATTAATTAAATATTTGAAGAGGGATTAGTCACTAGAAGATGATGTAATTAATAATGATTAATGACTAATTAGGATGTCTGAAAGCGACAACATAATGGGACTGAAGTACTGAAAGTTAAGGAGTCATCATATATATATATTGCCTTCTCTTATTATTTCTTTTTATTTAATTATTATTTTTGTTAGTTACTCCACCGACAAACAACCCACCCGGTTACATTTAATTCTATATTATTTCTTTTGGATTACGATATACTATTATTTGCTCAAGATAAAATATTTAAAAATATATATTTATGTAAACTTGTTACGACGTGTTACGCATTTTCACTTGTTCCGACGGCCGCCCGGCCGGCAAGTGAATAATACAATTTTATTACGCATTTTCACTTGTTCGGGGATATTCGTTTTAGTTTAAACAAATAAAAAACTGACAAGTGTCCTATTTTCTGCAGCAAAGTCACGCGCGAATTGGAATCAGCTGCAGCATCCCCACGTATAGCTGGAATCCTCTGTAGTAAAGTCCACTGTTCCTTAGACTGGGACGGCGTCGTTTCATAGAGTCATTCAATTCACTTGCAAAATCCCCAATTCCCATCACGCGATTTCTGTGAGCCCTAGCACTGCGTCTAGATCTTCTGCCCCCACTCCATAACAGGTTTATATACGATTCTGTATTTCCATGGATAAATACGACGAAGAAGCTCATCATTTCCATCCAAGTGGCTGGCAGCCCCGCGGTGGCGGAGCTCCTCTCCACCAACACCAGCGTCACGATAATTTCCGAGGCAGGGGAGGAGGAAGAAACAGTCCTAATAATTACCCCAGCGGATTCTCCAGTGGGGTGGCCGGGAAGCGGTGGTGGTGGGAGGAAAACCACAGGCCTTATGATAGCCCGCCGCCCTACCCTCAGCCGTCTAGTCGGGT